CTTATTAAATATAATATAGATTTATACTAAATAAGAATTATCGATATTATAAATATTATTATAAGATTAATAGCTAAAAATAAGAGCGTTAAGCTTTTTTTTATTTATAATATTATAAACTCTAATCTTATTTTTTATAAGAATAAATTTATCGATTTAGAATAATTATATATATCTTAATCGCTAATTAAAGATATTCTCGAAATTATCTATAAAGATAATTATTTAGATTTTAAAAGATCTTTTAATATAATTTTTAAATTATAGTATATATAAGAATTATCTAAGTATTTTTATAGCTATATTAAGTATTATTTTAAGTATTTAATATTATAGACTTATCGCTATAAGTCTTATAATTATTTATAATCTATAAAGAGTTTTATTTTATCTTTTTATACCTTAATACTTAATTTTATTCTTACTATATTATTATTTAATAAGAAATTTAATTATATAATAATCGTTATAGATAAATTTATAAAGCGAATTATTTATGTTTTTAATAAATTTATTTAAAATATTAAAGAGTAAGCTATTATTTTACTAGATCGTCTTAATATAAATAACTAAGAAATATTAAAGATCTTATTATTTAATAGAAATTTTAAATTTCTATTAGAGTTATAGAAAGCTATATTTAATAAATTAAAAATTAAATTATTATATTTTATAATTTATTATTTCTAGATAAATAATAGTAATAAATATATTAATTAGACGATTAAAATCGCTTTATACTTTTATTTATATATTTTAGAGAAACCTTTAATATAGCTTACTATTCTCTTATATATATAAGTACTTTTTAATAATATATAATCGACTATTATAACTAAGTTATTAAATAAGCTTTTCTATAAATTCCCTCTTAATAAAACCTTTAATTTTATTATATTATTCGAATTATTATAGTAGATATATATTATTATTAGAATTAAAGCTATTAATATAATAAGCTTCGCTTAAATATTTTAGAAATTTTATTATAATTATAAATATTAATTTATATACTTTAGAAAGAGAGATAAGATACTCTTACGCCTATATAAAGATTACTCTATTTTATAATTTATTAATACTATTAAGATAGATAAGATTAATTAATACTATATTAACTCTTTTAAAGTTATTATTAAAATAAATAAGTAAATATATTATCTCGATATATCTAATTATTAAAAAATTTATTTTATATTTTTAATAGTATAGTTAGAACTATAGTTTGTTAATATTAATTTTTTTTATAGATTATTATTAAAGAAGCTTAATTCTATCTATATAAAAGATAATACTAATAACTATAAGTTATATAAGCTATAATTCTTATTTAATAAATATATTAGACGTTATAATAAGAATTATTCGATTAAATATCTAGTATATTAAAAAGAATATAGCTCTAAGTACGATTAATAATACAATGTTAAGTAGTTAGACGATGCTTCGAAACTAGTAAAAGACTACGAGATCGCTATATTACCTCTATTAGAGCTATTACCTTCGCTATTACCTTCGCTATTAAAGCTATTACCTCTGCTAATAACGTTATAGAAGCTTTTTATAATTAATTACGCTATTATACTATTACTATCTTTATTATCTTTACTATTAATAATCTAATTATAAAAGCCTTTTATAATTAAATTTTCGAAGTTTATTATCACGAAGTAAGCTATTATAATTATGATTTTTAAAAAAAAGAAATTAATTATATAAGAATTATAAAAGCTTACTACTATATCTACTTAAACTTATCTCTTTATTTATATATATATCGAGATTACTATATTTTTTATTAACGATATATTATTATAGTAAGCTATTATAATTATATAGATATATAGTTTTACTTATCTTTATATCTATTAAGAAGATATTTTAATAAGAATCTTAGCTTAGTATTATAAGTAGTTACTTCTTAATAGAAGAATAATTATCTTTACTACATACTACTTATTATACTTATATTTCCATATTACTCTCACATAGCGCGTCTTAGCGCGTTCGTATTAACTCGCTCTTTTCTCTATAGTAATTATATAGTTAATATAACTAAGTATTATATCTTTATATTTTAATATTTATAAAGATATATAGAAAAATAAAAAATTTTGATTTTTAATTTTAAAGTATATTAGAGTTAAGGGAATTTTTTTTCTTAAATATTATTTATATATACTCGAAAGTATTTAATATCTAATAATATTCGATTTAAAATTCGATAAGTTCGACGTAATATTAAAATACTTATCTTTTATTAAAATTCTATAATAACTCGATATAATTATAAAGAATAATATTAAACTTTTATTACTAGTAATATTAATATATCTAAGAATATAATTTATCGTTTTTTAAATCTTATCGATCTATCGATTTATGAAAAATCGTCGCTATCTCTTCTTCTATTATATATTCTTCTATAACGTCTTCTTTTATTATCTCTTCTTCTATTATATCTTTTTTAACTATCTTCTTATCTCTTTTATCTCTTTTACTTCGCTATTATTACTATAATAAAGCCTCTAATAAAGCCTATAATAGAGCCTGCGAGGAAACCTACGATAGAGCCCGCCACTATTACGAAGTAGGTTTTCCTCTATTTTACTATTATTGCTGTGATAGGGTAAGTGTTAATAATATTAGTAGGCCTGATATAGAAGATATAGTAGTCTTTTTCTTAATTGAACTTCTATCTCTCTTCGTATTTTTAAAAAGAGCTAGTCCGAGGTGATAAGTAGATTATTCTTTATAATATTTTATTATATTATAGGGCCTCGATGTAGTATAACGTCTTATTTAGATAGATATGTAGTAAAATTAAAAACAATGCCCATATTTTGGTGTTGCGCCGGACTTATCGGATTTTAAATCGGGCATTACCAGGTATCGGGCACTTCCGGGTATATACGAATATGCAATCAGGGGTACAGCTGCAGGGATCTTCTGTCACAAAAAAGTAGAGTGTCCGAATCTCGGATACTATGCTGTACTACTTTGCAACCAAGGAATTTTAGCATACATTTTGTTCGAACTTTTCAAGATGCTGCCCATTGGCCCATAAAATCATTGGAAATCGCATTTGTATCCAGACTCTTTCACAAGGTTCTCACCCATTACTGAGCACCCTTCCTGTCCTTTTTCAAGGGGGATATGGCACCGAAAGTACTCACGCTGGGACCAATTGCTTTGCGAGGCCCAAGTTTTGAAGCCCCGAGTCCCCCTTTTCCCAGCGTCCCAAACCCTTTGACACCACCAAGCAGTCCTCGGTCACCTTTGAGTGTATCCCCCTCATCCTCGTCAAACAGTGTCTTCCCAAGACCACCTCCGAGCAGCTTTCTCTTCCTCTTTTTCATTTCGAGACCGCCATAAAATATCTCGTTGGAGGAACCTTTGTTGCCTGCGGGCTCGCTCATGCTCGTCGTTGATCCTTCATTCTCAACATTCTCCTCTGCAACCAATTCTAAGGTGGGCGCAGCTTTTGTCCTTCGCGCAGGGGCTCTTGAGTTGATTCTGCCTGTCTTCGCATTTCCAAGTACACCGACTATTTTCGTTTGTACAACGTTTTTCATGGCGTCAGACATGTCCACCGGGTCAGAGATTGCCTCGGACGACGCCGCCTTTTGGTTGGCAGTCCCAATCAGGCGATCAGATCCTTTGACATGCTCTTCGTCATGTCCACTAGCGTCGTCTGAAGGTGGGCTTTCTGGAGCCACGCTCGCCGTTCGATTGAGGAAAGGAGTGATGGAAAATGTGGATTTCTCGCCAATCAGAGTTGACTTCCGCTTGCTCTTCTTCGCAGCTGGAAGGTCTCCGGGCGTACCGATTATTGTATCGGCATCTATGTGCGCAGCTGCTCGTTTATGTGGGTTCCCGGCCACGAACGTGGTTGAGTCCACCGACGCGGATGCGCGACTTGATGTGCTGTGATTGGATGCTTGTGCTGTCTGCATGGACGTTTGCGCTTCTTTGAGCTGCTCCTTAGTAGACTTCAATTTGTTCCTGAATGCATCCAACCGAGACTCCAGTGTTGTTATCCTGTTTTCTGATTGAGTGGAACTCTTTTGAGCCTCGCGCTCTACCTTCTGTCGTTCTCGACGTTCTTTTGCAAGATCCGCTTGCAAATTCTCTAATTGGGATTCAAGTTTGGCATCTTCAGCCTGTAATTTACCCTCCTTAGCTAGCACTCGCTGGGTGGCACGCTTTTCTCTTTCCAGCTCCACCTGCACCGTGCTCAATTGCTGCTGTAGAGACAGTTTCTCCGCAAGCAACGACTGATGTGATGCGGCTTGAGATCGCAAGTGGTCGACCTCGGGTTTCAATGCTGACAGCTCGCGGGCTAGGGTGAGCTTCTCCGTCAGTAATTTCGTAGAGTCCATGGTCACTCCGTGCAAAGAATTGAGTTCTGCCTATGATGAGAAGTAAGCTTGTCTATGGCATTACTATTGTGCTTGTGTTCGCAAATACCTTCAATGTTTCAACTTCTCGTGATTTGATTCGTAATTTTTCCTGTGCGCTTTCAAGTCTTCGGCCACAGACTTCCAGATCCTCTTGGAGACGCTCGTTGAATCTTTCCAGTCGATCAATGCGATCGTCATTTTGAGACAATTGTGTGTGTAGGTCGTCGTTGTCATCCTCCAAGAGTATTGTGCGTACTCGAAGCTGCCTGAGTCGTTCTGCATCACAAACAGCTTCAACCTGGCAACAAGTTCTTTGGTAAGCCAGCTCGAAGGCACGAGACTCGAGGGCCAACTGCAACTGCTCCATTGCGCTCGACACTTAGGTCAACAATGCGATTCCTCTCAAATCATAACATCTCGTTAAAAGGAGGAGGACAGACGCGTGAATGCCAAAAGTAAACAAAACCAGCACTAGTGCTAAGCTGCGGCATTTAGTCTAATATAACGGATAAACGATGATGCGAAGGCCAGAAATGTAAAAACGACCTGTATTGCTGTTTATTCTCACACCCACAACTGATACCCTAGTGAGCCAGAATGAACTTGTTCGGTTTACTCGCTCTGACACTGCTGCCTATTCTATGCCTTGGGGCAAAAAAACCATCATTTGTTGGGACTTTTGAAGATTACCATGTCAAATCACAATCATCCGCACCTTTGCGACTAGATGATGCTTCGTACGACGATTTGACGGCAATTCCTCGTAATTATTCCGTGGTCGTTCTTCTTACCGCTCTGGAAGCACGCTTCGGCTGCCAACTATGCCGTGAGTTTCAACCTGAATGGGATCTGCTCGGACGAAGTTGGGCAAAGGGAGACCGACACGGAGACTCTCGAACTCTGCTGGGGACTCTAGATTTCGCAGATGGGAAGGGGACATTCCAGAAGGTACTTCCTTACGAATGTGGCATTGATGCTGCCAGTGGCTGGCTTTTGCTTACAGCTGCTCCCTAGCTTATGCTACAAACGGCTCCCATCTTTCTTTTATTTCCACCAACAACCGGTCAGAATGCAAAGCCAGACGGGCAGCCCATTCGATATGACTTCACAGCTGGGTGAGTTGTGTGGAAGATCTCGATGCGCCCCTTGGCTGACTTTGGTGATCTCGAAGTCCCCAGTCCGCCGAGCAAGTGGTTGGATGGATTAGTCGTTATTTGCCAGACGGTCACAAACCCGCCATACAACGACCCTTAAATTATGTTCGCATCATCACGGTCACTACTACTCTCCTTGGCATTGTGTCCTTCTTGAGTGTCGCATACCCATACATTCTACCCGTGATACAAAACAGAAATCTGTGGGCTGGAATTAGTCTAATCACCATTCTACTGTTCACGAGCGGTCACATGTTCAATCACATCAGGAAGGTCCCATACGTGGCAGGGAATGGCCAAGGTGGTATATCCTATTTCGCTGGTGGATTCTCCAATCAATTCGGCATGGAGACCCAAATTGTAGCTGCTATGTGTATGTTCTCCTAGTCGACGTCGGCTCTTAGCACTTTCACACTAATGGTCTTCACTTAGATGGCACTCTTTCGTTCGCAACCATAGCCTTAGCGCTAAGAGTACCTCGCATGTCAGATCCTAAGAAGCAGCAACTGGCAGTTTTCATTTGGGGGGGCGTGATGTTTAGTATGTACAGCTTTTTGCTCAGCGTCTTCAGGATCAAGAACGGGGGATATCCTTTTCATTTGCCGCCATTCTGACAGTCGACATGAAGATCTCAAAGCAGCTCTTGGTGTTATTAGAGCGTGATGGTATGAAAACCCTGTGTCGATAGAGAAGCCAAACAGAGACCATGTTACCGTATACTGGAATGCATACACACTACAGCTTTGATAGGTCTCATGGGCTCTGAGTGCAGCAATATCAGAAAGTACCCTTCGTACGGGCGTTCAAGCCTGCTCCACTACACATCAGCTACTCAGCATAGCCATCATACTTCTTGTGTTCATGATAACGTTTAATCAAAGGCATCGGTTTCAGTGCCTTCCTCTACAGATCTTCACGGTCATCATCGGGCATGTCTTCCTTTCGATGGCCTGCTTGCTGCTGGCATCCACGGCAATCACTACGATCCCATGGTGGTATGCGTCATCCTTGGCCCTGTGTTGGGCCATAGACCAGCTCAACTGTTTCTCAAATGGTCAGAAGTCTGATCAGGGTAATTGCTACGTTGAATTTTCGGCAACCAGTTCACAACTCTCATTTGCATAGCCACGAGCCGAAAATCCGCGAAGGCGTTAACTTATTAATTAATTAAAGAAAATTTAATCTTAATTTTAAAGATATTAAAATTTTTAAAATTATTAAAAATCTAATAACTATTTTAATTATAATTATAATATCTTTAAATTCTATTAAAATATAAATATAGAATACGTAGTTATATTAACTATAAAGTTACTATAAAGAAAAGAGCGACTTAATATAAATACGCTAAGATATATTATATAATTATTAAAACGCTAAAAGTTATATAATTTAAATTTTAATACTCTTCTTTATATATATTCTTAATATGAAAGTATATTATAAAAGCTATATATATAAATAGATTAAATAATTATCTAGTTAAGAGAATCTACTTATTAATATACTCGTCTATTAAGATTATATTAAGTCTTATTAAGTCTTATAAGACTAAATTTCTTATTAGATATTAAGAAAAAAAGAAAGATAATGTCCTCGCTATTCGATAAACGCTAACGCCGAGATAACAAATTTAATCGAGATTCTTCCCTCACATTTAATAGCTTTCTTATTTTAATTATTAAATAACTTTACTATTAATAGTTTAATATATCTTAAATTACTACTCTATCTACTTCTAATAAGAACGAATTAGATTAAACCTTAAAGTAGTAAAAATAAGCTACGAAAATCAGTGAGAGATAGACATTTCTTGAAAAACGTGATAATCTTCTTTAGCGTATTTTACTACTTTTAGAGTATTAATTAATAATAATTAAGTATCGAGTAGCTATTAGTTATCTTTTAAAGAATCTATTTCTTACTTCACGTACTGTATTTAATCTTATATAAACTACTACTATCTGAGAAATACTTCGAGATAATATTAATTTATATATCTCTATATTAGAAACTTAATAATATATATACCTAGTAACTCGTATTATAGTATAAAGAGAATACTATCTATATAGAATTATTATAAATATAGATTTTATAATAAGATAGAAAGGCCGAAAGGCTTTAATACGCTAAGCTTAATTAGGTTATAATATAAATAAGATTATTAAAATCGTAATATTATCTTTTTTTTTAATTTAAAACTTTAGCGATAATTATTATATAGTAGACATCGATCTTATAAAAAGTATATCTAGATATATATAAAATAATATTCTTAAATACATTAATTTAGTATTTTATAATAAGTTTAAGATCTTCTTATAAGTCGATATAGCTACTATAGATTAATAGCGCTAATAGAGAAAATTATTCTAAAAATCTTTTAAATAATAAATAAAGGTTAATAATCTCGGGATAATAATAATAGAAGTCTACTATCAGATTTAGACATTTTACTATATTCGTAAATAATTATTAAAATAGATTTTTCTTAATCTTAGAGTCTTTATACCTAATTTTATATATTAAATATCCCCTCTTATTAGTTAAAAGATTATTTTTTTATTTATCTAATTTAAATTAAACTATTTCTTTAATATTATAAATTTTATTTTTTTTATTAATATTAATAGAAAGTAATAGAGACTTAATCTATCTTAATAGAGAATCGCTATTATTAAAATATAATAGTTATAAATAGAAAATAAAGTAAATATTATTTATAAAAGTTAAGAGTTTTAACTCGTAAGCGAAATTATTTAAAGTTTTAATAATTTTAAACGATTCGAAATTCTTATAATTTAGTAATTTATTAAGATATATAATTTTAATATTTCTTTTATTAAGTATAATTATATCTTCGATTTTAAATTCTAATATCGAGAGCTAGTAATAATTAGTTTACTTCTTCTATAAAGTTTATAATTATTTAAGCTAACTTCTTAAATAATTTTTTATAATATTTATCTTTTTAATAAATCTATTAGCTAACTTAATATCTCTCTTTATTCTTTAATTAATAAATTAATCTTAAAAGATAAAGAATTTTATTCTCGAGTAAGAAATATATTCTTTAATAAGTAAAAATAATAATACGCTCGATAAAGCGTTCTTATCGAAGTTAGCTTCGAACTTTACTATTAATAATAAATTTATCTAGTTATTTTAATTATAATTAATATAAACTTTAAAATATTATTTTAAGATAACGTTAGCGTTCTTTATCTATTTATTAATTTTAAGATAAAATATAATAAAAAGTTTAGATTTAATCTTAATTCTTTTATATAGTCTTTTTTAGAAATATGCTATAAATTAGATATCTCGATTTAAAATAATAGTAAATAAATATCCTTTCTCTCGCTATATGAATTCGATAAAGACTTAAACTACTACCTTTACTTCTAAAGAGTCTAAAGAAAGAAATTTTTTCTTTTTATTAAGCCTATTTATAATTATTATAATATATTAATAGAAATATCTATATCTAAGATAGATAGATAATAATATAATAAAGTTAATAAAAATATTTTATTAATATTATTTAAAAATAAAAAGAGATTTAAGAAGATCTTATTTTTTTTTATAAGTTTTAAATCTTTTATAAATATAGTAGCTCTTAATATAGTAGATAATAAAATCTATTATTCTTAACTAATAGTAGTATCTACTTAATCTATTATAGATTAATAATTTATTAATATAGCCTTCGAGTAAAAAGTTATAAATGTCTCTAATAATCTTAATTCGTAATTCGGAAATATCTAGTATATATAGTCTGTTATTAATATATAATAACTCGTTATAAAGATAATAATTATCTAATTCTAGCTTAAGATTACTCTTAATTATTTTAAGTAATAGCTTTCTCTATTTAAATATTTTTAATTAAATAATTTTTTAAATAGTATTATTATAATTATAAGCGTTTTTTATCTAATATAATAACTTAGAAGTATTAATAATAGAGACTTCTCTTAATTCTTCTATAAACTCCTCTTCAGAACTCTTTATTAAGGTCTCTAATAATAATTCTTTATTAGACTTTTTATTATTAATATTATCTTATTTATTAAGTTTATATAATATTATAGCTAAAGAGATAATATTTTCTCTTATATTATCTAGAAATATAAAAGTAAGATATATAACGTTTTTAATATCTTTATTAAAATTATTATTTTTAAGAATTATATAATATCGATAACGGGTATAATTATTATTCTTATTTTTAGATAAATCTTCTACTCGTCGAATAAGGTTATTAGATTTAATACTTTATTTTCCCGAGTAATAAGTAATATAGAAGTTAAATTTAAAAAGAAACTTCGCCTATCTTATTTAATAAAAGTTAAATTATTTAAAAGAATATAAAGTATTATAAGTTTTTATAATTTAAAATAACTTTAATAGAGTTCTCGATAGAGATATTAGCTAGCTTAGAATATTATTTCTCGAAGATCTATATTATAGCTATAAGTTTCTTATTATAAATATTATAATTATACTCTATAGAAGATATCTTCTTAAAGAGAAATATTATAGATTTAAATATTCTATCTTTATCTTCTTACGATAGAATAATAGTAATTATAAAATTAGACGCGTTTATTTTTAGTTAAGTCTTTTTATTTAAATTAAAATAAGTAAATATAAGAGTAGTAGTAAAAGCTTTTTTAAGTATTTTAAAAGCGAGTTATTTAGAGTATTCTTAAGTCTATAGATAGATAAAGTCTTTTTTCTATTAAGTATAAATAAGATTTATTAGAGATATAGCGATTTTAGAGTATCTCGCAATAAACTTTCGATAGAAATTAGCGAATCTTAGGAATGCTTATATATCTTTAATATATCTAAGTTTCTTTTATTAAGTAATAATCTCAATTTTCTTTATATCTATTTTTACTCCTTTCGTTATAATAATTAGTTCTAGATATTTAACTCTGGTGACATAGAAGTCGTATTTATCTATCTAAAACTCTCGCGATTCTTATTAATACTCTATAACAGTATTTAGAGCTTAAGATCTTCGTCGCTATTATAATCTATATAATAGATCTAGACTATATTAATTAAATTATATGAATATAATAGAGTAGTAATCGAAATAATAGTGCGGAGAAAATAATTTATTATCTCTCGGCGTTTATCGGATAGCCGAAAAGGCCTTCCTTCAAGTACGGACTTTTCTTCCTTTAAGAACTTTCCCGTAAATTAAGAATAACTTTCCTCCCTACACGATCTTTCGTAGAAAAACATTCCTTATAATTCGATAATTCTTTCGCTTCTTCTCGATATCACCGTAGCGAGTAATAATATAATTATTAATTAGCGAGATCCGATAATAATACTAAGACGATATTCGATTAATTATATAAAATTCGAATTCTAAACTCTTAAAGTTAGCGAAATAATAACTTAAAGTATTATTCTTACTAATTATTAAGAAAGTAATTGCTAAGAAAATAATTACTAGAAAAGTAATTATTAGAAAAGTATTTTCTTAGTTATAAATACTTTTAATACTTTTATAATTATTATATTATAATATTTTTCTTATAAAGATCTTAATTTCTCTATTATAGATACTTTTAATACTTTTATAACTAAGATATTATATTACGATATTTTTCTTATAAGAATATCGATTTTTTTTTTTT